TATATATCATATATATAAATATATATATACATATATATATATATATATATATATATATATATATATATATATATATATATATGCATTTAATTATACCTAAGTTGTTATCAGAAAAGTGAAATCTGATACTAGTTCTTTGACCAGCAATACTAACGCAGACAGAGCAGATGCACTCCGTATTCGTTTTTACTTGTTAGGACAGTGGTTCTCTAACCTGCAGTACATGATCCGCTCGGGGTCGTCTGACAAAATGTCAGGGGTCGTTTACAGTTTTCAAAAATATATGAAGGTGTTTGTGTTAAATGTGTACATTCTTCTTGATTGAATATTCGTTTTGAAATGTAAATATTAGTTACAGTGATCCGACTAGTCTTTTTTACTACTACACATTGACTAGTCTTACCACACTCTTACCACACTCTGGCCTTACTCTGTCCACACCCTGACCGCACTCTGAATACATTCTGACCATACTCTGACCACTCTCTGACCACACTCTGATCAAATTCTGACTACACTCTTACCACACTATGGCCACCCTGTGACCACACTCTGACCACATTCGGATCACACTCTAACCACACTCTCACCATATTCTGAATACACTCTGACCACTCTCTGGCCCCACTCTGACCACACTCTCACCACATTCTCACCACATTCTTACCATATTCTGACCACACTCTGATCACACTCTGACCACAATGTGACTACACTCTGACCACACTCTGACCACACCCTGACCACACCCTGACCACACCCTGACCACACTCTGTTTACACACTGACAACGCACTGACTACATTGTTTTTCATCTTCACTCCTTTCCTTGACTTAATATTTCAATGAAACTAGGTTCGAATTAGAGACTGACCAAAAGTAATTTTCTGAGTTTGGCCGAAACCAATACTAGGCCGAAATTTAAAAATGACTTTCGGCCAAATTCGAAATTAAACTGAAAGTTAACATTTCAGTGTCTACCGAAGCCGAAATTAAACCTTAATTTAACTGTTTGGTATCGGTCGAAACCGAAGCTGAAATATTTAGGTATTTTGAAATTCATCCTTGCATACATTGTAAATACATTTTAAAAATGTTTGGAAAAGTATCAATATTTTCAATCTTTTTTTAACGGTTGCCCAGTCTAAAGCTGCCATGCCTATTTTACTATTTTAATTTAAAAGTAATTTAAATTTTTTTTTTTTTAAATGTTAAGTAGTATGATAAAAGAAAATGTGGACGGGGCAAGGGGAACAATTCATATAAAATAGACTCTTGAGTACCCTTTTCCTTTATAATAAAATTACAATCTAGAACATATACATATAATAATTATTGTGGCTCTGATAAAGCCAAATGTGAAAATGGTTATGTCATCGACGAAAACGGATGCCAGACGTGCAAAGGCAAGACTGAATGTCGAGTTTACAGATGCAAGGGATGTCGAAATAGTTACCGAAAGATCGAAATGGCTTTCAGACCTGTGAGTGCCTACCGCCCAAGTGTCCCAAAACTGCCTGCAGATGTCCTTATGGCACCGACTGGAGCGTGGACGAAAACGGCTGCCGGAAATGTTTAGTGTAAGAAGAAAGTCTGCCGCGAGCCCGTACTGCCCCAAGAAAAAGTGTCCCAGAGGTTTTAAGCTGGACAAGAATGGTTGCCGAACCTGCCGGTGTCAAAGAAATTAAAGGAGAAAATTTAATGATTTAATTTTTTTCTTTTTTTTCCGGACAGATTACAATGGTGTCATTAATGCACGCTATACCTTGTGTCGGTATATGG